TTTTTTTTTTTTTAATTACAAGTCAATTGTTTTGCTATTGGGTCTGAAAATTGCTTTGATTTTTCTTTGAATTTTTGGCCTTGGAATCCAATGAAACAGCTCTAAAATCCCAACTGAGAGAGCTACTTAAGCTCATTGTGAATTATTTTTGATGTTATTTGAATTAGTGTTTGTGGGTATTTGACTGCTTACTGGATATGTTCATAAGAAGTTCAATCAGCAATATAAAGCTACAATTGGGGCTGATTTTGTCACCAAAGAACTACAATTTGATGACAGGCTTGTCACTTTACAAGTGGGTTCTCAGTTCCATTTCAGTTTTGTTGTTCTGTGCCTACTTTTATTTAGAGCATGTTTGATCAATATCTCTTTATTTGCTGTGTGATTGTGTGCTTTGCTTTGGTAGATATAGGACACAGCTGGGCAGGAGAGGCTTCAAAGTCTCGGCGTTGCCTTTTATAAAGTGACAGATTGTTGTATTCTTGTATACGATGTTAATGTCATGAAATCATTTGATACTCTTAACAATTGGCATGAAGAATTTCTCAAACAGGTTAGTTATTCATCTTTATCTCATTGCTGCCAATGTTGAACAATTTGTCATATATCTTTTATTTTTTGGTCTATTTGTCTCAGTGAGTGTGTGTAAGTGTAAATGCATCAATAAACAACTTCTGAGGCCCATTGTTTAAATTGCACATTATGCATAACTTACAAGATAGTTAATCAATCATTTCAAATTTTCTTTTTGTATCGAAGGATTCAATTAGAGGTACTTTGCTCTCAAATACTTGGTTCATTGATTCTTCTTGTCTATAGAATTTTTCACAACTACTAATTTTGAACAAATACGAGGGAGTGTAGTTGTTTCAAGTTTTATGAGGATCACATAACCATAAAATTGTCGATAATATTTTGGTCGTTCTGCTGTAGTGGTTGTTTTCTTTATATAGGTTGATTCTTCCTACTTCATATATACTTTACAATGTTGTGGCTATCACTACAACAAAAGTAATCTATGGTGAGATACATATGGAAATTTCCTGAGATAGAATTTTGTAACGACGAAGTAAGACTTTTTGTATTTATAGTTGGCTCTTTCAAATTTCCTAAGATACATATGGAAATTTTATTGCTTCGTGCTTAATTGTTGGTAAACTATCTTATACTGTTTTGTTTGGAATCTCTTTCTTCTTTTTATTAATTATTTTTTAAGGTTTTTCCTAAACGAGTAATCTTCATTTATTGAAATTTCATTGCTTTTTTGCGATTTTTTTAAAAAAAATTATTTTGTGTTTTTGTTTGATTATATGGCTGTGCAAGTGCAATTAATGAACTAAACCTTATTCAATTGGTTGGAAATTTGGAAGTAACTACAAGTCTTTTCCATGAATTGCCTCTATTGAGGCAAAAGGGTATGCAGTACTTTTGGAAATAGAGTAAGAACAGTTAGTGACGATTAATAAACTTGTAATGCGATGATTCTGACAATAGAATTGATCAATTTTGTGAATTGCATCACACATTAACGTGTATTTTAACAATTAATAAACTTGTAATGAGATGATTCTGACAATAGAATTGATCGATTCTATATATTTTAATTATTGAGCTTAGAGTTCTCAGATATTAGATCTATATTTTTTTAACTTCTAGTGAAGAAATGAAACTAAATCAGAAGAGAAAGCAGAGTTACAAGAAGGGAGGTTCTTGCATTGCATGAATAAAATGAGAATGAAAGTAATCCAGATTTATTCCTCATGATGCTTTCATTTCTTATATTTGGTAAAGGCACAAGTTTTTAAATTTTTAATGTGAATTTACTACCAGTATTTTAATGCAGATTTTGATTTACTGCTTGGCATGTAAGTTTGTGTCCTGGATCTGTTGTTTAGTTTCATTCATCACTCTATCACCTACATGGGAGGCCAATCAGAGAATTGTTAGAGACTTGCCTTATATCTCTTTTCTAAGAGACACAAGCTTAGTTGATATAATCTAGAAACCTCTGCAAGTTTGCAACTATTGCCAATTGATTTTGGGTTAAATGCCTCCAAAATTCAACTCAAGCCTTAAAACATAAGCATAACAACTGACCACTCAGTTGATATTGATATTTTCAACTCATGGAATTTATGATATATTGTATCATTTGCTTTCATCTTATGATGCTCGTGGATTATGGTGGCTCAATTTTTCCAATCATTGCTCATTCCCCATGGAATGGTGTACACTTGGCAAACTTTGTGATGCCTTTCTTCCTTTTCATTGGTGGGGTTTCTCTTGCACTTGGATATTAGGTAGTGATTGTATATTTATCTAGGAAAACAAATCTTTTTGCCAAGAGACCTGTAACTTTTTATTCTTAAATTTGATAATTATCTTTACACGCTATGAAATTCTGTGTAATTATATACTGGCCTAACATCTACACTCAATAATTTCTACACTCAAATAACGATTATTGAGGAAGTCAATCATTCAGCACTAAAGACTCCCCCTTTTTTTTTTTAATGTCAGAGAGTTTTAGACAAAGTAGATGCTACACAGAAAGCATGGCTTAGGGTCTTGAAGCTTTTTTTCTTCGGTGTTTTTCTTCAAGGTAATATTGTGCACAACTTTCAACTTACGTCCTATAATACATAAATGTATCTAATTGGGCCATACAAAACCCTTCGGGCAACTATATATAGACTTCTAACAATCTGTGATGGATGGCAAGTTTATTGTGGAAGACTTTGCCATCACTACTACAAAAATAGTTAAAGACCACACTTTGACAAAAAAAAATATCTCACTTTTATTGGAAGTGTGATAAAAAAAATTAGATTGATATTTTAATTATACTTAATTTGATTAAGTGCGATAATATTTATTTTTTATGTCACTTTTCAATTAAGTGTGATTATATATATATTTTTTTAATCACACATTCTAATTAAAGTGTGATTATATATACACTCCTACTTTTTAATCACATTTTTTTTAAATAAGTGTGATTATATATATATTTTTTAATCACGCATTCTAATTAAAGTGTGATTATTTATATATTTTTTAATAACACCTTCTAATTAAAGTGTGATTATATATACATTACTACTTTTTAATCACACTTTTTAAGTAAGTGTCATTATATATAGGTGTATTTGTATAAAATATTCCAATTTGATTTTTATATAAAATATACAATTCCCAATTTTTTTTTTTAAAAAAAGCCCCAACACCAAAACATAAATTAAAAAAAAAATATTCAAAATACATTTAACTCTTTGGCTACTTCTAATCAAAACGAGATATATATCCTTTATAATTGATCCATTATATGAAAATATATACCCTTTATAATTGATTAGAATGGTCCACAGATCTTTCCAAACAACAAACAAATGGCTGAGATCATTTTACACATTAGAGAGTTCCCACCCTCACACACGCGCAACAGTTTCTTCTTTTCTTCTCTCTTTTGTGATTCACGCTCTGTCTCTCTCTCTCTCTCTCTCTCTCAGAACAATAAACACCTCATCGGCACAACCTTTGTGTCTCCACCTCTTCCCCGAATTCGGATCCTCTTCACCAATAGACACCCACCCTCTGCGCTATAGACGGTGCTCTTCATTTCCCTTACAACCTTTTGAAACTCATTGGCTTGGGAAAGACCTGCAATTTTGGTAAGGTTCTAAACATAGAGATTGTTTATTTTCTTTTCTGAAACCCTTCCCTTCTTAAATTAGGGCATTTGATTAAACTATTTTGGATTTCAATTCAACGATTTTTGGTTGGGGGTTTTGAATTAGGGCATTTGATTCAACGATTTTTGGTTGGGGTTTTTGATTTTTTTTTTAATATGTATGTATATATGTATAAGCTCAAATCAATTACAATAGAGATGTTTGTTTATATATGCTTTTGAAGGTGGCAAGCGATCGATTATGCTCGGTTGAATCACAGTACGATTACATTCTTCAATTGCTCCAAACCAGAGACCGCAGCTTCTCGCTGGAGTCGAGTCAGGTTGAATGCTTCCAAGGTCATCTGCTTCTTCCTCTTCTTCTAAATTTTTTCCCCAATTCAGTGTAATTTCTAAAAATAATTATAAAATCATCTATGGTAAACTTTTACATCATTAATAACCAAACTCTTTTTAAAAATTTTCATGAATCTGTAATAATTTTCTTAAAATACCAATTAATCTAATAATTAAGTAGTATTATATTATTATGTGTTCAACAAAGTGACTTAAGATTATCATGTTAATTGTGTTGGGAATGTTGGTAAAGGTTTGTCCAAGGACGCCAAAGCACAGAAATTGGCTTTCCAACACTGGATTGAACCTGTAAGTTTTCTTACTCATCTCCATATAAAGACCAAAGGGGAACAACCTTCAAAGATTGGAAAAAAAATCCCCCTTATTTTATTTGTGATTACAATGAATCTCAATTACAATCATGTAGAATAAATCAACAATTTTTGAACTTTTCTTTTATTTATTTATTTATTTATTTATAATTTAGATGCTAGTGCTTTCATCATGTATCCACTTCTATATATAACTTGTGTGATGGAATATGTGTTTGTATATTAATTGCATATCAGATTGATAATAAATGTTGCCTCAGATTCTCTATTCTATTTGACTAAAAAATTTCAGTGAATCAGGGTTTAAGCTATGTTTAGTTTATAGAAATGTTAAATTTCTATTTGACTTAATAATTTCCATAAATATCTATGGCCCAGTATAATGTTTTGTGGAATCAATGATGTTTTTTTTTTTTTTGGAATTCGTAAATTACTTTAGATTTTTGTGAGAAGGTTTCAATTATTTTCTTCAATAACACTTAATTTCTCTCAGTTTGTCAAAAGAATTGCCCAACTCTATGACTGAGGCTTCACATTGTTCATGTATTCCATTATCCGTTTAAGTTAGCACCGTTACATCAACCTTAAGAATGTGATTTCACATTGTGTTGGGCCATTTGTCTTAACATAGAATTTCCACTTTTTGTCTCTCGGTTGGTAGCT